TTATCTTCTGCTGGCAGCACATCAGAGGGAAGTAGATTATGCTTTCCAGAGCAGACTGCAAGGCCTTTGCCCAAGTCACCCACCTTTGTTACTCCAGAGCAGACTGCAAGGCCTTTGCCCCAGTTACCCACCTTTGTTAGGATTCAAGTGTAATTAACTTGCTTTGTGTGCTTTGCATAAATTCCAATAGGGATAGGGCTCTGTAAAGGAATGAAGTAAAGATGGAAGTTGACACCAAATCTCCCCTGATCCAAGCTGCTCTTCTATATTGCCAAACAAATTGCCATCCCTGTCCCCAGCAGATTTTTGGTTGATCTGAAGTCACACATTTGCAGAAGACTAAAAGCTATTTACAAACACAGAAGATTATTATCTATGGAAACTAGTGTAATTCAAATCCTTCTCACTTTCTCACCTCTAACACTATTTCTCACACTAGAATTTCCTGTGAGGGTGGTGAGACACTGGCACAGGTTGCCCAGGGAGGCTGTGGCTGCCCCAACCCTGGCAGTGTTCACAGCCAGGTTGGATGAAGCCTTGAGCAACCTGGTGTGGTGGGAGGTGTCCCTGCCCAGGGCAGGGGGTTGGGACTGGATGATCTGTAAGGTCCATTCCAACCCCTAAAATTCTATGATTCTGTGAATGACCAAAGCAATGACATTAACGAGGAATCAGTGTGAGCTGTTACACCTCAATGCAGGAAGCCAATGGACCAAAGTTTATGTCAGGAGTCTAGGGGAAGCAGGACCAATCCTTGTTTTTGCCAGCAGTGAAGGTATTTGTCCTACATCTTGGTGTAGATGGGAATGGAACTGGGAATTCCTCTTTCTCCTTCTCACTGACAAGCAAATTGCTCTTTGGCATCCAAAAGCTCTGTGTGTGTGTGTGTTTGTGTTGCCTAATGGTGTTGACATTTCTGTTTGCTTGGCACAATACTAGCCCTTTTCCCTCAGGAGAACAAGTCACAGCAGGGAAGGAAAAAAAAAAAAAAAGGATTTTAAAGAATTTGCAATTTGGCTAAACCTGAAAGGAATTTCAGTGATAAAAACAAAACAAGAATGAAGAGCTGTCTTAGCAGTGAGCTCTGTCCCTGCTAGTGTCAGAGGCTCTGCAAACTGGAGGGGGAATCTTCAGAGTTACTCAAAAGAAAAAAACCTTGCCATTATTTTTCCTACTGAAATTATCTGGCAACAAACTAACGCATATTACACGCTCCACTGCTCCAGAATACATTCAGGCTGCATGCACTTACCTGTCTGCAAACAAAGGAATATCAGATTGCAGAGGTGTGGGTAGGAAAACCCTGAAACCTTTCCCTGTCTTTGCTTTCTAGACCAGAAGACATTAGTGAGATGACAGTTTTGACAAGTCTTTGGATGCATCCAACATTCATCATTGGGTTGTCTTGTATGTTTTCCAGTGTCTGAGGAATAGTGGTTTTAGTAGAGATATTATTTCAGTTATGTTCATGTTGAGGACTAGAGGGAACAGTCAAGTACTAGAGGGAATGGCCTTGAGCTGAGCCAGGGCAGAGTCAGATTGGATGTGAGGAGAAATGTTTTCCCTGTGAGGGTGTTGAGGCCCTGGGATATTGCCCAGGGAGGTGGTGGAGTCACCATCCCTGGAAGTGTTGAAGAGGCATCTGGATCTGACCCTGGAGGATCTGGTTTAGGGGTTCCAGCAGTGACAGGCGTGAATTTTGGCCTTAATAGGGAAAAATATTTTCCTAGCATCTAATCTGAATCTTAACGATCATCTTGTAGTACAAAAGAGAAATCTTGGCAGATTGGCCCAAAGCTGGTTACAAGAGCTCTCCTTTGCTCCAACCCTCTAATTAAGTTCATGAAATAGAATCAATCTCCTCATGTAAATAATTGGTACTCTCTAAACGCAACCTGTGCTTCCCATCTCAAAGTCAGATGCAAGGTCTAATATTAGGAGTAACACTGTGGGACAACTGACCATTGACATCAAAATGCCCCTCTTGCAAACTGAAGAGCTTTGTAGTAAAAAAGTTCATGAATAAAACACTTTTCACCTCAGTGCACCATCAATATAAAAAACACTAATGAACTACTGATAGTTTTCAGTTATCCATGTTCAGTGCTCACTCTGCTAAAAAAAATTAAACCTCGAACTACAAAACCTTGGGGTGGAAGAGACCTTTAAAGCTCATCTAATAGCAATGGACAAGGACATTTTCAATTAGATTAGGTTGCTAAGAGCCCCATCCAACCTGACCTTCAGTGTTTCCAGGGACAGGACATCCACCACCTCTCTGGGCAACCTGTTCCAGTGTTTTACCACCCTCATTGTAAAAGAACTTCTTCCTTATATCTAATCTAAATTTACCCTCCTCAAGTACCTTCCTGTGCTAAGGACTTCAAAGCTGGATGCACTATTCCAGGCTGGGTCTCACCAGAGCAGAGCAGAGAGGCAGACTCACCTCCCCTGACCTGCTGCCCATACTTCTCTTGATGTTTTCTATGGTACATGCTATGCCATGCTAGTATATTAATGAGTCATACAGGATGGAAATGGAATTAAAAGCAATTAGCTGTAATTCTATCTCATGTGGCAACATGGAGAAAGTAAAATGCATTTAGTGTTCTTCTCCAGAGGATCTGCCTAACTTAATTCCAGTGAGAAACTACTAATTCTTTGAGTTGTGTTTTCTACCCCCAGTTGTCAAGGTAACAACTTTGTTAGACATGGAATACAACTCTGTTTTTATCTTCAAAGATAAGGCCAACAGGCTTGCTCAGAACATTTTCAAATAGCTTTTTAGAACATCTAGCCTGAAGTGTACAAGTCCTTAGATGCATCCAATGTATTAATCATTAGTTAGATCTGGATCTGACACTGGAGGATCTGGTTTAGGGTTTAGGGGTTCCAGCAGTGACAGGTTAATGGTTGGACTGGATGATCTTAGAGGTCTCCTCCAACCCTGATGGTTCCATGATTCCATGAGAATGAATTCCTGTGATCCCTATTACTTTACTGAAATAACATCACTGCACATTAACTTCAGCTTTGATTTGTTTCATTTGATTCTGGCTTCTTCTTTTTTTTTTTTTTCAGGTGAATTAAATGTGTATTATCCTTTAAAGAAGCTACTGCTGTTTTAAATCAAGCGACTTTTCCTTCAGTCTTCTTAAATTTACAGGTGGTGTCCTCCACAGCTTTCCATAAAGCAAAGTGAGTCCTAAATAATTTAAGTATCTCTTTTCTGAAACACATCCATTTCCTGGAAGAATTTTTCTCAATTTTATGCCTTCTTGGGAAGAAAATAAAACAGAGAAAGTAGTTTATTATTCTAGTTGCAGTGTTACAAAAGCCAGAGCACATGTACAACAATAATAGTCTCGATTCCACATCAACACACACTGAGAAAATTCTGCAATTATGTGATTTGTCCTCTTTGCATCCTTCCCCAGATCAAGTGAAGCTAAACATAAAGCGAAAACCAGGACACATTTCATGTTCAAAATTGATGTGATGGATGTTCTAATCACTGTCAGTCTGAAGATCTGCTTGGCTTCAGCTACCACTCCTCCCTCCAGGAGAAAAGGGACCTGGAGCCCTAGAATCAGAGAATCATCAAGGTTGGAGGAGACCTCTAAGATCAGTCCAACCATTGACCTGTCACTGCTGAAACCCCTAAACCAGATCCTCCAGCACCAGATCCAGATGCCTCTTCAACACTTATAGGGATGGTGACTCCACCACCTCCCTGGGCAATATCCCAGTGCCTCAACACCCTCACTTCCAGGGATGGTGACTCCCCTTTTAATCAGCTCCCATGGAAATGCTCCCTGGGCTTGTGCTAATCAGAGACAGGACAATGTCAGATGTCAACCACAGAAACAACAGAGCAACTCCAGGTAAAATCAGGTCACTTCAGAGTCCTGCAGGGTCTGTACAGCACAAACATGATTACAATCCAGAGTGTAATCCATGCTCACGTGGCACACCTCATTTTATACCAATGGATTTCTCCTTCCTCATGCAACCACATAAGGTTCTGAAACCCACATTTGGTTTAAAGTCCTCTTCAATAACAGTGAGAAGAAATCAGTCTACAACTTTATGTTCCAAATGATCCAAAGCCTAATTATTCTGATGTATATGCTAACAGAATTTCCAGTTGAGTTTTACTGATGCCTGTGGTGTTATGCTGCCCCTCAATGAACATAAGCAGAGAGATGAACAGGTCCAAGGCATTTCATAGCAGTGAGAGGTTCATATACCACCATGCTTACTGTATTGTGTAGCACACTCCATGTGACCTCTAATGTCTATTGACACATATTACTACTTATTTCCTGATGATTTTGGAAATTAGACTCGATTAAAACCTTGGGTTTAGATGGATTTTTAGGTATTCTATCACAAAAGATAGAACAGTAAACAACACATTAACATTCAAATCCTGTTGGGGTCTTCAGGTGCTCATCACCTCCTAGTGTATTCCAAATCCTTACTGTGGCCAAAAAGGCTTTGTGCAATAGAACCATAGAATGGATTGGAATGGACATTAGAGATTATCTAGTCCCAGCCCCCTGCAGGGACACCTCCCACCAGAACAGGTTGCTCAAGGCTTTCTCCAACCTGGCGGGCTTTAAACATCGCCAGGGTTGGGGCAGCCACAGCCTCCACGGGCAACCTGGGCCAGTGTCTCACCACCCTCACAGGGAAAAAACTTTTCCTAATACCTAACCTAGATTTCCCTCCTTCAATTTGTACCCATTGCCCCATGTTCTATCACTGCAGCTCCTAACAAACTGTAGGAAACTATAGGAATAAACAACAGGAAACAAACATAATTTTATGTCACCTTTATATTTGGAATCTCCAGCAAGAACTATCCTAAACTCATAGAATCATTGAATTTAAGGGGCTGGAATGGACTGCTCTATACTCCTATAGAGTATATATTTCCTGCTGGAAATGACATAAGCAACCAAAAATGAAAGAGGACAGAAAACCACTGTACTTACTATGTGACGTGCTGCGAACACTCCGTCAACTATCGCACAACAGAATGCTGCTACCACACCAAAGCTGATAAACACGATGGAGGCCACCAGCTGAGGAGAGAAAAACAAAGTGAGTAGCGTTTTCAATATGATTCCTTCAATAAAACTATTACACTACTTTTTCTAGTGATCTTCAGTGATGTTTCCGGGTGCAGAGAAGAGCACTGAGGCTGGTGAAGGGACTGGAGCACAAGTGCCATGAGGAGAGGCTGAGGGAGCTGGGAGTGTTCAGTCTGGAGAAGAGGAGGCTCAGGGGAGACCTTATCACCCTCTACAACTACCTGACAGTGCAAGTCAGCACTCTCACAGGCATTGCTGTGGCACTGGAATCCTCAGCACGGGGAGGAAAGGGGTGCACAGAAGTGGCTGAGCCTGATGGTACCTGCTGATCTTGGGACCCTGCTGCATTCCCCCTGCATCCAGCTCCATCCTGTTCTAAAGAGCCAGAAACTTGTTGGCTCCATCACCCTTCAACCTTTCCTCTCCAGTGTGGCAGGTGTCTCACGAGCTGATTATCTAAAGCTCTTGGCATGCAATTCATCAGCTTAACAAGGCTGTGGGCTCTGATCACTGCAGACCAGTGGGCTGTGCTGTCCTGTAGCAGCTGCATTCACTATAGATCCTGATCTCTTCATTTGAAAAAGCAGCAGTGGTAAAAAGTTCAAATGAAGTCATTATTGCCTGATACCTCTAGCTTGTTTTTGAAGTCATAGCAGTCAATCAAATAATTAGTGGGTTTAGTCAGGTGTTTCCAAATTGCCTAGCTCAAGATGAATTTACTGGAAGCTGACCTCAAGGTGGCTTTTCATTTCACACATGAGCAACCTGTTGATGATCTACAATCCCCAAACCAACATCTTCCACTCTTGGAGATAGCTTAAATCACCTAATGAGAGTGCTTGGCTTTTCGGTTTCACGATATAGACACCACACATAAGGGTGCACAGCAAACTGTAGTATAGCTACAGAGTTGGCTTTGCACTCCTCAGTCATGTTGGTGATCATCTACCCTTCCAAGGAGTTGCCTGCAAGACAAAGGTTGTCAGCCAGAGTCTGTCTGCCAGGAACTACTTCAGTGAGAAATCCCTTTGAAATCAAGACCATTTCTTCACTGAAATAATATTTATTACAATACCAAGGTGGAAGAATGTGACACTGAAACAGCCTTATGACTTAAGTTGCCTTAAATTGTTGGATGAAGCCATAAGCAACCTGGTTTGGTGGGAGGTGTCCGTGCCCAGGGCAGGGGGTTGGGACCGGATGATCTCTAAGCTCCATTCCAACTCCTATAACTCTATGATTCTGTGATTCTATGATATATGTATTTCAATGATAAAAGAAGTAATAATACAAGACCACCACAAAAAAAGTCCTTAAAATAAAATGACAGATTTATATTCTCTCTCAAGTCTCTCATTGCTTATTGAGAATGTGAGAAAATCAATTAATCTCTCAACATTTTATTAAATTAAATAAATCAAACTTCTGAGTACTGTTTCTAAAAGGTATCACTCCAAATTCCAGATTTTGCTCTCTGAAATACTTCCAAGTCAATAAGGTACTTTGCAAAGCACCAAGAAACACCAGAGCTGAAGTCAGTAATCTAGCAATGGTCCCATAGCCTATTCTGAAGTCTTTTCCTTCAGGACATTGAGGCACTGGAGTGAGTCCAGCCAAGGGCAACAAGGGCAGCAAAGGGCTGGAAAACATGTGGGATGAGGAAGGGCTGAGGGAGTTGGGTTTGTTTAGCCTGGAGAAGAGGCTCAGGGGAGAACTTAGCCCCCTCTACAATCCCCTGAAAGGATGCTGGAGTCAGGTGGGGGTTGGTCTCTTCTCCCAGGCAACCAGCAGCAGGACAAGAGGGCACAGACTCAAGCTCTGCCAGGGGAGGGTTAGGTTGGCTATTAGGAAGAGATTTTTTCTGGAGAAAGTTCTCAGGCATTGGAATGTGCTGCCCAGGGAGGTGGTGGATTCACCATCCCTGGAGGTTTTCAAGCTGAGACTGGATGTGGCACTTAGTGCCATGGTCTAGTAACCATGGCAGGGCTGGGCTTGATGGTCTTTGAGGTATTTTCCAACCTAGTTGATTCTATGATTCTATGACATGAGACTTGTAGCCATGACAGAAGGGAAGGAGGTAGAAGAGCTGACAGCAACTAATAGGTTGTTTCATCTGTTCCATGTAATTTGCAGTCCTAGGCATTATCAAAGTAAAAGCCAGGGTTTGGCTGGAATGAATAAATGATAAGGACTGGGGTTATTTCATTGTTTGTGGCCGAGGAGACTTGTTTTACTGCCTGTGAAGTCTGCTGTTTTCCACTCTCCTGTCAGGTGTAATTAGGAAAAATAGCAACATAAAAAGGCCAGTTGGTGTAACACAGGCAGGGGAGAGGTCCCATGAGAAATTTAAGCAACCTCACATGCATAAAAAGGTTGAATTAATTAGATAAACAAATAGGAAAGAATACAGAAACCACATGAGAGGTGTCAATTATTAAGCCAAGGAGAAAAAAGCAAGATCAAAATCCACTTTCAAAATCAAGGTGGTATTTTCACTTGGAAAATGTATCTTTTTTTCTTGCCCCACATCCTGAAGGGCAAAACTGTGAAAGGCAGAATTTTCAATAGCTTTTATTACACCGTAGGTACTCACAGATAATTTTTATCCTATGTAGGCATTGGTAATGGACATTGCTTTCTCTTTGCATCTTCCAGTGGTATTGATGCTCAACTTTTGCGTATCAATTAGGCTACACAAAAGGGCAAGGGACTGCAGAAGTGTCCATGGACAAGGAATGTGCAACAGGGTAACTCAGTGCTCCCCCAGTCCAAGAGGGTTTATGCAGCACAATGGGGTAAGGCAAGAGAGGGAACACAGGTTCTGAGTTTGCTTCCTCCAGCTCCTCCAGGCACACATGGAGATCTCTTGGATAGGGACTACTTCTTTACTGGACAGAAAAACAAACTACTTGACCTACTGAGAACTTTACTTGTGTCATCTGCGATGAGATTTAGTAATGGAGATGGGTGAATTTAGCATCTGATCCCATTGACACATGCCTAGGGTTGCGTGTCGGGTGTGTTGGGTCCCATGACAGAGGTGGCTGACAGCTAGCTTAGCTTGCCATTTCTCTATAGGGCATGAAAGCCCATGGTTCAAAACTGTCCCCTAGAACCCTTGCTCTTAGGCAACTCACAGGGCCTCCCCAGCCATCCACCATGGAGCATCTCTCCCATCCTCATTCCCCTCTCCATGTCAGGTAGCAGCAGCTGTGCTGTTCTCATAGGTGATGACTACAGCAGCTTAACTCTTCTGCAGCTGCAGTGATCGAGAAAAGTAGCATGGAAATCATAGAATCAACTGGGTT